ATCTTTTCATGGTGAACATCCCCCACTTCTTCTATCCTGCCCTGACATGACCCAGAACCAAGACCATCCCCCAGCTCCCCTCTGGATACTCCGGGTTTGTCAACATCACTCCCATTACGATACCTTCCTGACTCCCAGCAGCTCTGCCTCCTGAAGGCAGCCCAAGATCCCAATAACTTTTGGCTGCCACATTACTCTACCCATCACGGTGAGGTGGCAGCCTGCTAAGACACCCCTGATCTTCTTCAGACAAACCACCTCCCCTATCTTCAACTCGCGACGTTGATTTCCTGATTCCAAGTATTTGTCCTTCCAGAATCTATCTTACTGAATGTCATCTCGTCCCAACCCGCCAACCCTACAACCGACTAGTGCTTCCTGCTTCTCATGTAGTTACCAGCTGTCCTTCCCAGCTGCGGGTCCTCTTCAAACCGGACGAACACGAACTCTGTTTAAGGCAGAGCTGCCCCAGTGTCCCCATGATAATTGGAAGTTGTTTTAGAAATGTCAGCAATGAAAATAAGATTTATAAAAATTTTAGAGAGTAAGCACTGGTAAGAAGAACCTTAGCAAATATCTCTACTTGTAGAAGTTATCAGACCATCAATTAATAAGTGCCCACCACGGGCCAGGCCCTGGGATACAAAGACAAAAGTCAAATAATCCTTGCTTTCAAGGGCCTGCATTTTAACAGGAAAGATGTGTCCAAAGCAAACACAAGGTAACCCGGCGAGGGAGGGGACGGAAAAAGGCTTCCTGTCGAAGAAGGGAACTTGAGCCGAGTCTCACAAGAAGCTGCGGGTGTGAAGGGGAGCTTTCCAGGCCTAGGGACCAGCCAGCGAACAGGCAAAAAGAAGAGATGAGAGGATGGTGTTGAAGACACTAGAAACGTGACTGCCCTGCAGAGGCCAGTGAAGGCATTCATCTAAAAGAAACCTGGAGAAGGAGGCAAGATCCGGCTGGGGACAGCAAATCAACAAGCCTCTACCGGGTCCCCGAAGTAACGGGTCCTGGAGTTTAGGGGGGTTATGACACCATCAAGCTCCTGCTTTAGGAAAAATCCCTTTGTCAGCTGTGTGAAGGATGGCTCAATGCAGGGACACCCCTCACAGGCCGCTAGAACAGTCAAGCATGAGGCAGGTGAGGAAGGCGCGAAAAGACCTGAACTGAGGGCTACGCGAGTGCAGAGAAGGGAACTCAAGCCAGACACACAGTACATGCAGGAAAGAAAAGGGTCTGATGACTAATGACCCCCACGTGGGATGCCTGAGTGAGGAGGCCAGGATGGTAGCACCCTAAGAGAAATGGGGCAGTTCTATGGGGGGTCGAGAGACAGAATGAAAACGTATCCTCTTCTGGAAACACTGAGCTCGAGAGGCCTGCAGGGCACCCAACACTAAACCTCGGTGAGGTAGCTGGTGATGGGAGGCCAGAGTTCAGGGGAAAGTCTGGGGCTGCAGACAGAGTTCTGAGTCGCTTGTCTTGTCGCGATGATTACAAAACTCGGAGGACGCCGTGGGACTGCAGGGGGAAAAAAGAAGAGGCACACCTTCAGTCAGCGGGCATGACGTCAATCGAGAACATGCAAAAGCGACCGAGAGAGAGCAAATATGTAAAAGCAGAAACAAGAAGAGGAGTGGCCCCAAAAATCCCGAGAGAAGAAACCGTACAGGATGAAAGCGTTCTCCATCAGAAGGTCTGGGTGGTAGTACTGGGGTTGGCAGATTATCAGCAAATGAATGCAGTGCTAAAAACAAAAGGCATTCATAAAACACGCTCCAAAGGAGAATGACTCAAACCAATTCACTCATCCATCATGCATTCATTAAGCACCTGCTATAGGCCAAACCTCCGCAAAGTACTAGGATACAAAGACAAAACAACAACAGAACCTGTCCTCAAGGAGCTTACTCCTACTATTCTACATACAAACAATATTCGTAGATAAAATTAAGTACAGATACATACACGGTAACTCCTGAGGAGAGGACGCTGGCAATTTGAGGAATGAGGACAGGCTTCCTATCAACCAAGCAGCAAGCATTCATTAAATACTTACTATTTGTCCAGCACAATGATGCATTCTGGGGACACAAGTACAAAGAATGAAACAATCCCTACTCACGTTCTAACGGAGAAGAGACAACAAACACGCACATGAGCACATACAACATCACGTGACTAAATGTAAATATACAGGAGGTAGCGGACCTTGGCGAGGTGGTTTGGAAGGAGGGCCCTGGGAGTTGGGAGAATCAGGAAAGACATCCAGCACGAGGGACTCGAAGAGGCGGAAGGAGAAGGGCCACATCTCGTCACATGGAAAAACAGCAGAAAGGCAGAAAGACACAGCAAGATTTAGCAAGCCTTGATAGGAATGCAGGGTGAAGGGAAGTGAGGAGCCTTGTGATTCTGAGATTACAAATCTGGGAGGTCACAAGAACGGCCATGGCTTCAACAGAAACAGGGAAGAAGAAAGGGTTTAGCAGGAAAGAGAATGAGTTCAATCTGGGGCGTGATGAGTTTCAGTTTGACACATCCAACAGTCCGATGGCGACAAAGGGAGGAAAAGCCAGGAAGGGCTTGGAGCGGTGGATCTCTATATGGAGGCGACTATAAAAGTGCAGGGAGCGGATGCGGTCACCAAGAAAGACAATGGAGAGGAAGGAGAGAAGCGGCCCGAGACCCAGCCAAGAGAACGGATGATGAGGTCAGACAGGTAGCAAGCAGGTGACTCAGGCCAAAGGAAGGACACGAAAACCTGGAGAGCAGAAAAGATGGCGGGCCCCTGGGGACAGCTGTACAAAGGCCTAAAGACTGGAAATGCGATGTGCTATCTGGGTGATGGCCAGCAGGCCAGCATGACTAGAAGCCAGAGTGCATGAAAGGGAATAAGAAATGGAAAATAAGCTTGGCAAGGCAATGTGGAGGCAAACAGCCAAGGGCAACAGTCCAAAAGGCAAACTGAAAAGTCCTGAATGTTCTCCTTGACCACTAGAAGGATATGCCAGATCTTCCACAGCAAGAGAATGCTATGGTCAGGCCTGTGTCGTAGGGCGGACACTGTGTAGGATAAAAGGATTCTAGAGCTGGAGGGACCGCAGAGACCCCTCACCTTACAGAAGAGAAAACTGAGACCCAGGAAGATGAAGTGATCACAAAAGGTGGCCCGTGAAGAGTTGGTGCCAGGCCCAGGCTCCTCAGGTCCCCAGCAGCCACTCCTGCCTCCTCGCCTCTGCATCCTCCTGCCCCCATCCCAGGATCAGAAAGGGAAGAAGAGCCTGGGGGCTGCAGGAGAAGTCAGGAAGGCCCTGCAGGAGCCCAGGCCGCACAGGCCAGAACCAGGATTCCCTAGGACTCTGATCATCAGAGAAATGCAAAGCAAAACAGCTTATCAATACAAAGGAACACTAAGGTGTCCTCAAACATTGCCAATGAGAATACAAATAAATATTTAAAGACTCTTTTGAAACAAAGCAAACAGAATCAGAGTGTAACTGTTGACTTACTGTCATAAACATAAAAACATCAACAAGATCTGATCAATTCACAGAGATCATAAAGGGACACAGAACAAGACCTAATCTTGTTAAGACACAGGCAGAGAGAGAGAGAGAGAGAGAGAGAGAGAGAGAGAGAGAGAGAGAGAGACACACAGAGACAGAGACAGAGCACATCCAGGGGTGGGCCCTCCAGCTCCTCAAGTGCAGCCCATGTGGCCTCAAAGCCGCAGGGAACCTGGGTATTTGAGAGAAAACTGAACTTAGAGTTAGAACCCTACCTCTGACACTTCTGGGCCAGTCATTAAACCTCAGAGTATTAAGACATTCAAAACCTCAATGTTGTCTCCTACTCCTTTTCCTTGAAATTCAATCAGTGGTTAACCTCAGCCTCAGTTTCCTCACCTGAAAAATTGGGATAATAAAAGAACTTACTTCACAGTATCATTACAAGGATCAAAAAAGATAATATATGTAAAGCTCTCTGCAAATTTTAAAATGTTATAATCCATTTATCAATAGCTTTACTTTTTATTATTATATTTTCTTTTATCTAGCAATGATTTTGACTCTGTTGTTTCATGTATGATTTTATTCCTTATTGTGCTTCTTAAATGCATTCTTCATTGAACCGCTGTGCATAATGAAAACCTGCTGGCCAGTTGTACAGCAGCATCAGTCAGTCACCAGAAGGGCACCAGAGGGGTCCACGTCACGCTGGCCAGCCTGCTACCGGCACCCGCCCTGGTCGATAAAGAGGGGATACCTGAGCACTGGTTTTTCTATAAATGCATGTGACATGGCAGGCCCACTTTCTAATATTCAGATAAGATTTCAGCATTTAAGTAATATTATCGCTTCTGGAGTGGAGAAGTCTTTTAAATGTGTTTTAAGAAAAACCCTTGTTAAAATACATTTTTACTCTCCCCTTCCTTCCCTGCTTCCCTCCCTCGCTATCTGCCCAAAGAACAGAGCTTACAAAATTAACAGCTAGAGAAATTTAGATTCCCAGGAGAGACTGGTGCCCATAACTAACTGGTCCCTGGACCATCCCACCTTCTACTCACCTGACTATAGAGGACTGATTTTTACCACCCAGACATCCCAGTGGAGAAGTACAGAGACACAGCAATAATTTTAAGTCCCATGTTTCCAAGAGGATGACAGTCTTGAATTTCATTGTACTGACCCAACTGACAATAAAATAAGTAATTTTTTTGATTATAACAGTTACCAATCTGGTAAACTTGTCTGTTCCAAATTCAGTCATTCAAATTCCCCAATTAGCCTCCTTTAGGGACCGGGCCCTGCCAGGCACCCCGTTATTCAGTGAAAGCCACTGCTACCCCAGAATCAGTGTGTGTGCCCTCTCAGGGCTTCATAGGCAAGAAATAACTTGGGTCCAACATCTATCTAGTGCAAGAAGAGCTCCATCACCTCAAACAACATCACTGCCCCAGGAACGAGGCTCTGTATTAAACCCCACAGAAAAGAGCTCACCTGGCAGCTGATCAGAAGGAAGAGGCCCAGGTTTCTCAGAATTCAACGAACGTGAGTCCAAGGAGGGCTGCTGCCCTGCTGCAGACACCTCCCGCGCTCTTTCCACATTCACAGCACATTTGCTTTTCTGCAGTTTGTTACGTCCAGTCTCACGCACGTCCTTCTCGTGAGAGGCTCCAGCTTTGTGGACAGCGTGGCCTAGCTTTGGGCTTCGAGCTAACCTACAGCTGCTCAAACCCCGGCTCAGGCTCTCCACTTGGGAGCCACCCTCTCCAGGATGGGCACCACAGGCCTCTTCCAGCTCTCCCGCGCCCAGCTGGTGCACCTCTGGACAAGGCAAGGCTGGAGCTTTCCTGAAGGCTTCAGGAGCATCGTCAGGAAGCGTCTCCGTACCTCGACGTTCGGGGTTTTCTGAAGGACCACACGGGTTCAAGCCATTTCTCGTCACAACCTCTCGCATCGTACCCTTTTTCAAAGGCAGGTCTGCATCCGAACCAGCGTCAATCGAGCCCATCTCCTCCAACTGCATCTTCTGAGCAACATGATTCAAATAGGAGCGGAAGCGGCCACTGCGGTGCTGCTGGACCAGCCGGGCATAGGCGTTCTTCTGGGGGACAGCAAGCTTGTTGGTGCTATCTCTCATTCCACTTCGGATATATCCCAGATGGTCCATACTCCAAGGATTATGCCCAAACTTTAAAGTGATGCAAATAGAAAAAACAAATTACTTTTAGCACGGGAGAGCATTAAACTGAACACTACATCAGAACAGAAAAGGAATCACAGAATCTGAGGTCTCAGATAATCTAGTCAAACTCCTACAGACAAGATTTTTCCACAACTTCCGTCAAAGGCTGCTTTGGACTTCTTACAGCATTAACTATAAGAACTCTAACATGAACTTTCTTGTAGGAGTGCCACTGGAATTAACTTTGGATGTGAAATGTGGCCAGGCTACAGTCAACAGGCTCAGTCTGGTCACAAGCTATCAGAAAAATGGACTGTGACCCAGGTGTTACATCCGCGCTACAAGAAAAACAAACCAAAACCAAAACCTCGAAGCTGCTTTGCCTTTCTCAAAGCCTGACACATTCAAACCCTTTTTAGCTAAAGACAAACGACTAGGCACAGCTATGATCTCAGACCTACGTTATGAAATGCACTGCCTTCCTTATTTACACCTAAGTGTTCACCACAGCTGTCTGCATGGGGGGGGCCCTACCAGCCAGAGTGGCCTTACGTCCAAGAACAGGGAGCAAGGATAACTTTTCCCAGACCTACATGCGAATTCTCATTTCTGTCCTAAGTGACTAAAGACAGACTGGTTGCCTTCTTAGGAAAAAAAGGTCAAAGGGCTTGTAGACTGCCTCGCCACTAACCAGGTTGGCAGAATGAATGAAGTATTTCTTTGGGGGAAAAAAAAAAAAAGAGGGAAGGTGGAAGAGACAAAGGATGGAAAGGAGCAGAGGAAAGGAGAATCAAAAAAAGGCCAAGGTGAATCCTAAACGCTTCCCCAGGATTAAGCAACTGCTTTTCCTACCCACCAAGGGATGTAAGGGCCAGTCAATCAATAAGCATTGATGAAGCACCTACTATGTGCCAAGTGTATGCTATATGAGGAGCAGCATGGTACAGTAGACAGGAGCCAGTCTGAGAGTCAGGAAATTGGATTCTAGTCTGCCTTAAAGACAGACGTAAGATAACCCCTGACCCCAAAGAACTTACATCCCATCAGAAGAATATGACATATTCAGAGATGAGTAAATTCAGGACCTATTTCATATAATCACACAATAAATACAAAGTGATCTCTTGAGAAGCTGAAGGAGTAGGGGTAAGAATCAGGAAAGGCCTCTTAAAGGAGATAGCACTTGACTGAGTTTTGAAGGGAACTAGGGGCTTCAAGAGGGAGAAGGTGCCAGGCTTTGGGCCAGCCTGTGCCCAGGTACAAAGGCAGAGACGGAAGGGAGCACACAGGGTCAGTACTGGCCAGGAGGCCCATGTGGATGGAGTTCAGAGCAGGTAAGAAGAGTCCAGCGAAATCAGTCTGAAAAGGGAGGCTGGAGCCAAGGATCCTGAAGGACTTGAAAGGCCAAATTGAGGAGTCAGCATTTTACCCTGGAGGCAAGAGGGAGCCATAGGAAGTTCTGGAGGGACACACTCAGACCTGTGACTTAAGTACATCAAACACACAGCAGTGATGATTGGAGACTTCCTACTGAGGGTTGCAAATGCTGCTGTCAACCCGCTAAGAACCACAGAGACGTCTGCTACGTACCTGGGACAGGAATCTAATACTTAGCAGGAAAACTCCCTGCCAAGCTACGTCAAACCAGATGACTCACATCCCCCCAAATGGTCTGCCAGAAGCTCATGAATGGGGCTTCATGGAGAGAACCTAAAGCTTTCTAACATCTTTTAAGAAATTAGGAGATATTTCAGCATAGACATTATTGAAACATAATTTAGTTTCAGGCAGAATTGTGAGCCACCAAATCAAATGAATTTTTAGTCAACCAACAGTAAAGCCCAGTGGATCTTATATTCTCCACTGCCTCCTCAATAAGTTCTATCGTCACTCAAGATTTTGGAATGACTATCAACTACGATACACCCCCCTCCCCAAAGTATTCTTCCATCCAGCAACACTGATCTCCTGGTACCACAAACAAGACATTCATCTCTTGGCTCTGGGCATTTTCTCTAGCCATTCCCCATGTCTGGACCACTCTCCCTCCTCATCTTCACTTCCTGACTTCCTTCAAACCTCAGCCACAATCTTTCCTTCTACAGGACACCTTCCCCAATTCTTCCTTCTAATGCCTTCTCTCTGCCAATTATTTCCCATTTATCCTGTATACAGCTTGTTTGTATACATTCCAGGGAGGGCTGGAATTAAGAGGGGTTGGGGAAGGCTTCCCGTAGAAGGTGAGGTTTTAGTTGGGACTTAAAGGAAGCCAAGGAGGCCAGGCCAAGTGGAGGAGGGAAAGAGTTCCAGGCATGGGGAACAGCCAGCGACAATGCCTGGCATCTGGAGATGAAGTGTCTTGTTTGCGGAAGAGCCAGGAAGCCGGAGTCACTGGATCAAAGAGTACCTAGAGAGGAGTAAGGTGTAAGAAGACTGGGAAGCTCGAAGGGGGCCAGGCTGTCCAGAGTTCTGAACGCCAAACAGAGTGTTTTGTATGTGTTCACAGAGCTGATAAGAAGCCACTAGCGGTTACTGAGTAGAGAGTGACATGATCCAACCTACGCCTCAGGAAAAAATCACTTTAGTGGCTGGATGGAAGACAGAATGGAGTGGGGAGAGACTTGAGGCAGGAAAGACCCCACCCCAGCAGGCTATCAAAATGATCCAGGCGGAGGTAATGAGGGTCTGCACCAGGTGGAAGCTGTGTCAGAGGAAAGAAGGGGGTACAGGCAAGAGATGCCGCAGAGATAAAATCCCAGACCTCAACAACAGCTTGGACATGGGGCGGGGGCGGGGGTGGGGGTGGGAAGAGCAGCACCGAGAAAACGTGAAGAGTCCAGGATGACTCAGGTTGTGAGCCTCAGGGACTAGGAGGATTGTGCTGCCCTCTACAGTAACAGGGAAGGTGGGGATGGGGGAGGAGGATGTTGACTTGTCTTCTGGACATACATTTTGAGATGTCTGAAAGACAGCTGGTGATGTTAAGACTGGAGGTCAGCAGAGTGTTTGTGGCAGGAAAGGCAGACAGGAGAATCAGTAGCAGAGAGATGGCCATTAAATCCATGGGAGCTGATGAGATCTCCAAGTGACACAGTATAGAGGGAGAAGAGAAGAGGGCCCAGGCCAGAGCCCTGAGGGGCATCTATGGTTAGAGGACAGGGTCTGGAGGAGGAGCCAGCAAACAAAACTGAGAGGGGGCCATCAGACAGGCAGGAAGAAAGCCAGGAGAAAGTGACATCTGAAAAAACCTAGAGAAGAGAGAGCATCGAAGAGGAGAGAGTGATCGACAGTGTCCAAGGCCGCAGAGAGGCCTGGACAGAGCAGTTTCATACATCCAGATGACAAGAGGGTAAAGAATTTGGGAAACTGATCACAAACCTCACACAGAGGCAGGATAGAGTGCATGATAAGGAGCTTCAGGACATCCACTGGAGCTCCCAGGCACAAACAGGCTGTGGCACAACTTCTTAACCTGCCTTAACGGTAAATTCAACCTTCAAAAGTTGGAGGAAAGGGGCAGCTAGGTGGCTCAGTGGATAGAGCACCAGCCCTGAGTCAGGAGGACTTGAGTTCAAATGTGGCCTCAGACACTTGACACTCACCAGCTGTGCGACCCTGGGCAAATCACTTAACCCCAACTGCCTCACTAAAAAAAAAAAAGTTGGAGGAATCCAAAGGGGAATTACTAGGCTGGACCTGATTATCACCAACAGGAGGGAAGGTATGGCTGTGGTGGAAACGGGAACCATGACAAGTCACCATTCCTCTAGAGAATTTGGGAGAACAGACACCCTTGATTTTAAGAGAACACATTAGAAATCTATTAATAGCTAAGATCCCTGGGTCTAAAATTCCACAGAAGATGTCTGTCCAGGAGGGATGAGAAACTCTGAAGAATGAAACCATGAAGAAGAAAAATTAATTTTGATGAAGAATAAAGTTGGGAGTTAGCTAGAGACTGGTGTGTGCGCAGGGTAACAGTCATCGACAAACTCAGACCTTAAGATCCAAACATGTACAAAAACAAGCTTGGCTTCAAAGAAGAGACAAGAGAAGAACCGTCCCCTGACTCCTCTGCAGACGTGGGGTCAAAGGTGGGGAGCCCGACACAGAACGTCTGATTGGGGAGCGTTTGATCACTTTTGCTAAATCTTTTTGTCCTCTTCTTTTTCCTTTAAAAAAAAAATCTTTGTTATGAGGGGTGGCTGCCTGAAAGGGAGGACAGCCAGGGCAAACCTAAGCAACATGAAAACACAAGGTATCACAAAGAGCCAGCAAGACTTCCCAGTGAATAGACCGCTACAGCTAGAACTGGCCTAGATGTTGGTAAAGTATTGGATAAAGTATCTTGTGCTACTCTTGTGGAAAAGAGAGAGAAAGGGGCTGACTCGATGATACCACACTTAGGTGGATTTGGCCCCGGCTGAATGGCTCGACCCAAAGAATAACCATTAACAGCTCAAAGGTCTCCAGAAGGGTCACCAAAGGCTCTAGCCTGGACCCTGGGCTGTTTAACATTCATCATCAAGGACAGGATGCTTCTATCAGCCTCAGTTTCTTCAATGCCTAGTAGCACAGAACCTGGCATACAGCAGGTGCTGAATAAATATTTAAGTGAATTATGATGCCAAGATTTTTTTTCTTCTTCCAAGGGTCCAGCCTAAATTTGAACCAATATGCACTTAACACAAGAGATCGTGGCTGCAGATGGCAAACCCTCTAGAACAAAGAACACAAAAAACACCTCTTTTTCGATACTCGACTCAGTTCTCATGACATTACAGCCTTGTGGATTAGCACAAGAGAAAAACAATGCATACATCAGACAGCAGGAAGCAGAGGAAGGTCCTCTGACTTCAAAGTCAGCATCTTTCCACCATGAGCTCTCTTGTCATTTGTCCTTACGAGGCACCCACCACGAACAGCAAACACTGAATTGATGCCTCCAAGGACCACGGGAAATAACTTCAAACAGATCATGCAAACTGGCAGAAAAATGTAAACAG